GATCCCAGGAACCACATCAGAGCTCTCTGTCCAGAAGAGTGCAGTGCTAGGAACAGCTAAGGTACTGCGCAGAACCCTTGAACTCCCAGGCCTCTGGTAGAGGACCCCAGATTGAGGAAGACACATATCACTCATAAGGGTGAGAGAGGATTTTTTTATTTTTATTTTTATACACACACACACACACACACAATTGGATGTGGTGTCTGCAGGAGGTGGATACTGTAGTCCAACAGAGCTGGAGAGCAACTGGTCAGGAGAAGGCTCAGTTAGAACCTTTTTTAACCTGGAACTAAACTGCAGCCCAGTTCAGGACTCTCAAACTACATGAATTAGGAACAAATCAGGAGATCAGTACTGTGAGCTACACTGGTTGTTTTAATCAACCAAGAATAGCTGTTCATAGGGCAGAAGAAGCAGATATAGTCAGTTACAAAAGTGGATTGGCATTTTGAATAATAAAACAAACTGAAACCAAACCTTGACTATGGAAGTTGGCCAGATATTGCTGCCCAAAGAAGGACAGAGGTTGGCTAAGCCAGGGCCAAGTAAAAGTGTGGGATCACCCTGGCTATTTTGTGCTAAGTGATGCATATGGCTCAGGAAGTGTGAGGAAAGATGGATATGGCTGCTTGGCCAAACATACCTTAAGTAGAGGCCTGGAAAAAGCTCTGGTTTTCCCACTGATGTCCTCTTCCCACCACAAAGAACAAGCAAGGCTATTCATAGCATCGCATGAGGCATCTCTAAACCACTGTTGTTCTTGATGCCCACATCCTATGGAAATGGCCAGAGGCAAAGGCCATTCAAGAATGTCACATAGATTGGGCCTGGAGTTCTAGGACCAATATCAAATTCCAGAGGAAGGAGAAAGGAAGGCAGCCAAGAGGTCTCCAAAACCCAAATGGCGACCTGCTTTTCTCTGCTAAACTTCCATGAATAAAGCTCAACTTCCATAGCCTTGGGATTTTCTGGTAGTCTTCAGTTCCAAGTACTAACTAGGGCCGACCCTCCTTAACTTTCTGAGAACAGCCAGTCACACCACCTGCTGTGACTCCTCTTTGCTACATCTACACAACATTAAATATATAGGGTAGATATACTGCTTTAATGGGGAGCAAAACTATGCCTTTGTTGGGAAGATTTGTAATTGGAAGTGAAAGATGGGAGATGGTCTCTAGAAAGCTGGGGATGGAATCTCCATCAAGTGTTTAAAGAAGGAGAGAGCTCTCCAAATGAAGAAGCAGAACAAGTGTGTGTGGATGGATGGAGAAAGAGAAAGGACCTGAGGAGTTGAGAGTGAAGAGTGAGAAAACAGTAAGACTAAATAGAAGTTATTTAAAGTGCAGAGCCTCTTTCTAGAGAACCTGAGGAGGAGCAAACACATTTAATCAGGCCAGTTAAAGATCTAGCAGCTGTACTTGCCCAGCAACTAAATTTGGTTACCTTTAATTAGATTAATCTTTAATCTAATAACTAAGGAAATGCATTAATTTAATAAATGTTAAGCACATAGTTCAATCTTAGTCTTTGAGTCCAGCAATAGTTGTCTGATTTGCAAAAGATACATATAGTAAATGAAATGCAAGTACACATCCATATGAACTTACCATAAGTATGTCAGCTGTGATGGCCCAGTTTGAAAACAAAAGGGTCTCACCAATAAAAATGCAGACCTGTTGTTGAAATATTAGACATACACAATTTACTCATGCAAGTTTGAGAAACATCCCAGAGTTTGGTGTTCTGTTTTAAATACAGTACCCCCAATGTAACTGAATGCATGACAATTTACTGCTAGCATCCACTGAACCTTACAATCAGGTGGTGGGGAAGACAGGAATGGATTTTTTTTCCTACTTGTGATTAGGAAAATCTTTATTAAAGAAATAACTTATAAAATGTTTATATTTCTCATAGGAGGAGGTTAGAAGCTGGTAAGAATTCTGTATATTTCAAGAAAGGTAGAGGTCAACTATGGTGAGAAATTTATTTATAGCAGGCACAGGGAACTTATGATCTTCCAGATGTTACTGAATATGGCTTATGGCTGGGATAAAGTGAGTTAGAACCCAGCAACATTTGCAAGGCCATATGTTCTGCCTGATTTATAGCATTTATATACTTCCTTAAATTCTTAAGATAGCTAACGATCATTCTACCAGTATAAACATGGACATAAATACAAACATTAGCTGCAGAGTGAGGCTCATAAAAAAAATCTCCATCAAGTACTGAAAGGGAATCTGCCTTGTTCAGGAGGATGTTAAATATGTAGGCTGATGCAAAGGAGGGACTCGTTCTGGTCGCAGCTAAAGCTGTCCCAAACATTTTAATTTCAAACTGTCTTGAACTCGAAATGCAAAGTGATAATTTTGAACACCTAGAACAGTGTTTCTCAACCTTGGCAGCTTTAAGATGTGTGGACTTCAACTCCCAGAATTCCCCAGCCAGCAAGGGAATTGAGAAACACTGCCCTAGAAGCACTCAGAGCCCTTAAAACAGTTATGTTTTATGTCACTTTTAACAGTTGTCGTGTCTGTGTGTACTTCCAAAAACCATGCAGAGGTGCTAATTCTGCTACTGGCAGGGCTGTTTTGACTACAGAAGGATCAGCATTCAAAGAACTGCCTTAATAATATATAAATGGAATTTAATACATTGGAATAGATGCAAGATCACCAGTTAGTATATTAAAGCACCAGCTAAGGTCCGTTTTCAAGTGTGGAGGCTCCATGCCAACTTCCCTCATTGCCCCCTCCCAATATTTGGCACTGCCCTTTACCCTCTCTCTGCTATTGTAAGGGCAGGGAAAGGAACCTGGGGTTCTCCAGATATTCTGAATTCACACTTCCAGAGATTTAAAACATCTGGAGGGCAGCGCATTGCCTGCTCCTGAAAAGGGGGAAGCATCAGCCTCTCCTTTGTCCTTCTAGGCCATAGTGGGAAGAAATGTATCAACAAGAACTTGCAACGTGAAAAACAAAAGTTGTTAAGGCCTGGGGAAAAAAATAAAAAAATAACTGCTTCTTCCCCATTCTTCCCTCCCTGCTCCCAAGTAAATTACTTGGGGAAAAATGCAAAAATATAAAAGTAATCTCCCCATCCCCCTGTTTTCCCCCAGGTCTTTATATTGCCAGGAAAATAGGTGACCTAGTAAAGGGACAGGCTACAATTAGGCCTTCCTGTCTGAGAGCCCCTTCCTCTAATC